TAGGTGGTTCGTGTGTTTTCCTTCCCTTAAGGTTTTTATCCATAGTATAATCCTTTCAATCGGTTAATTTTCGATCTTAAGGTTTTGGCATGGATTCCAGAGTGTTCTTCCCGACATTGTCTGCTGTCATTGAGGTATTACTTATTATGAAATCTTATGGCGTGTTCAGTATGCGGCAATGGAAGCTGATGAATCAGAAGGCGAAGAATTGGACTATTACATTGACAAGTGCGCATTGACAAATGAGCCCAAAAGTCCTCAATCTGTGCACAATTGTTTAGTTAAATCAGCATCCAACTTTGTTTGGGGTTGTGGGACACGTCATCGCTTAGCCAACATCACGTGCAAACTCGCGTACGGATCAGGTGCGGCGAACTCACCGACGCCCATTTGTTTTACCGGATCCGCCATGTTGACAATGACTAAGTTCCTTCCTGTACACAGGACTGACGTGCTACGTCTTAAATGAACGTATTCCTCCTCGCTCGTCTCTTTCCTCCATAGCTTTGCAATAGCCTAGCTAGTTTGGGAAGTCCATCGATAGTAGATTACTGAGTAAAGTCCAGGCTTATTGGTGTAGCAGTCCGCTACAAATTCGTGACCCTGACGTGATGTCCAAAGCCTGACTTCAAACACTCAGCAGAGAACCTATCTCTACCTGACATGGCGATTTTTTTCTCCGCTTTGGTTGATTCACTTGGTGATCCTCATCTTCGTACAATTACCAACGACACGACTCTTTTTCTACTTCACAATGTCCAAGCACATCGAAGTCATCGGTAATATGTTTGATTTGCCCGCGGTGTATCCCATTTTCAACACTAATTACCCAGATACTTGGTTTGTGCAGTTCAAAAATATGCTTCGAATGAAAGGGATAACCAAGCGAACAACCTGGTTTTTCTACGCTGTCGCAGCACTACCGGCCCCGGTCATAAGCCAATTCAGCGATATTGCCGCTCAGCAACCAGACAACAACTCTTACGAGCGTCTCAAGCAGGCAGTCACCAGTCGTAACGCTGTATCGCAAGAAAAGCGTTTTCACCAACTTTGGCCCCAGATCGAACTTGTGGCTACGTTTTGCGTATTCATTCATCCCATTATTGGCTGACAGCACTGCCCAATGTTGTTGGAGGTACCCCATCGGGGAACGGTCACGTAGACATTAGTTTTCGTACTCATTTTGGCAATTTTATTGGTATACATGCGATCCTGATCATACAGATCAAGTTGGTTCTTCGTAACGCCGGTTTTGCTCTTTTCTTGAGATGAATTTTTTATCCTACGTGGTATGTCCCAAACATTTTTTTCGGTGTTCCGATTGTATGCATTTTTCTTGTGTTAGATTTTTATTGGATTCGCTCTTTTGTTTCTCCTTTAGACAAACATTCTATGAATCCGCCCCAACAGAGAGGAGACGAGTCGGTTTCTCGGCGCCAAGATATTCCGATTGAGGTTGTTGAACGCGACTACGAGGCTCATGTGAGGCGTCATTCTGTCTCCCCCTCTTGAAGTAGTTAGTTTAAACAAACTCATTACGTTCTCCTATTTTTTTCTTTCCTCAAAAAATATCCTACATTACCTCATTCTCGTATGTCCATTCCCCTGTGCGCCTACCATCAGATCCCGAGGGCCTCAGACGATATCGCAAAGACGCCCGTAATCACACCATTTGGTTTGTTCGAATGCCTACATGCTCTCCTATTATCTACAATTAAAAATATGCAATAAAGAAAAAGTATTAAAGATATTTACCAGAATTAGGTGCCCGTGGGGATCTTTTTCTTTTACCAAGGGGATTAAAATGTTTGCAGTTTATTTGTCGAATCCACATTATTACCAAAAATAAATGTGGAAAAAGATTCAATCAAAACATTTTGCACAGATTGCGAACTTTTGGACTGATTAATCAATGGCCACTTATCAATGTAGTAATCCAATTCTTCAACTTCTGACCTGCAATTTCTAATCTTTGCATTTTAAATTTAAATAATTATATGTGGATCTCGGCTAAATCAACTCAGCCTCAATATTGCCAGCATAACAATTGGGACACCTCTTAATCTACAGCGAATTTAATCTGGCGTCGTTAACACGATCCGAATTAAGAAACAAACAACGATCTAATCCACCCAAACTCTCCACAACCAACTTGATAACACTTGGTCAGGTCATTTCCCACACCACCTCCACACGTATTTGCTGTCATATATATTTAACTTCTTCAGGCTCACATCACCCGACTTTCCCTATATCTATTCATCTTTTGTCGGTGCTAATCCTTTTCATTCAAGCCGAAACTCCTCTCTTCTGACAACTACGACAAATGATACTCCACCCGATGAACTGCAAGAATAAGCACCCATTTAACACATCTATTCATACTCACTTCCACCTTTCACCTAGTTTAGGCGATATCGGAGAAGCAACATACACGCTCATACAACTTTCCACAACGTAACACAAGCCATCTGGGACGATAGACGTCGACCACTACTCAGATATATCACTAACGGATGAATCTATTCCATTCAAATACAACTGAGGGCACACATGTATGATTTTATAACATCAACTTCAATAGTTATTACCGTCCAAGACTCACCACTACCCGAAGGGAGCGGAAGCGAACGACGCCTCTTCATTCGTTCGTAATTTCGTTTCAGAAGTTCAAAAGGCGCCACGGTGGCAACTTTGTCCTTCTTCTGGTGAGATATGACCCAAGACAACGGCCGAGGGTCTGGTGAATCAGAATTATCTGGTGAATGAACGCTGGAGCTCAAAGAATGTCCCTCCAAAGCTGAACGACTCAATCGAGGCCCGAGGAGGAGTTCACGAATTAGGAACAGCGCGTGATAAGGCTGAAACAAAAGATTCAGTAAAGCTTTCATAACAGATATATTCTGTTCATACATTATAGCTACCTTCTTACCAGGAGCTTGTCAGTGCGC